GGGAAAACCATGGCCTTGACTATACATACTTTTGTTGGCAGGGTGATGTCTCTGCTTTTTAGTATGCTGTCTAGATTTGCCACAGCTTTCCTCCCCAGGAGCAAGCGTCTTTTAATTTCTTGGCTGCAGTCCCCATCTGTGATGATCTTTGAGCCCAGAAAAATAAAATCTGTCACTACCTCCATTTCTTCCCCATCTATTTGCCAGGCATTGAGAGGGCCGGATGCCATGATCTTGGTTTTCTTAATGTTGAGTTTCAAGCCAACTTTTGCACTCTCCTTTTTCACCCGCATCAAGAGGCTCTTTTGTTCCTCTTCACTTTCTGCCATTAGAGTGGTATCATCTGCATATCTTAGGTTGTTGATATTTCTCCCGGCAATCTTAATTCCAACTTTTGATTCATCTAGCCCTGCTTTTCTCATGATGTGCTCTACATATAAGTTAAATAGGCAGGGTGACAGAATACAGCCTTGCCGGACTCCTTTCCCAATTTTGAACCAATCAGTGGTTCCGTGTCCAGTTCCCACTGTTGCTTCTTGACCCGCATATAGGTTTCTCAAGCAACAAATACAATGGTCTGGTACTCCCATCTCTTTAAGAACTTGCCACAATTTGTTGAAGGTTTATCTGACCATTCCCAAGAGAATGTAGTCAGTCCGGCCAGATTCTTGTAAATACAACAATATTTACAGTTATTCTTTATTGTCGTTATGCCTGACAGTGTGGGGCCTGGTTCCTTGTGCCTTGACAGTAAATAAAATGTGATGCTTCTGGATTCTTGTGGAAATAGTGGTATGTTAAAGGTTTGAGGTTTGAGATGACACCTAGACTTTTTTGTTTATCTTGACAAAATTGCCTCCAGTCAGTTTTTTCTCTCTCAGTTAATTTAAATTCTAGAAAGTGGCTTGCAATTGGCACAGATTTGAGACAGTGGTTTAGAATGTCTAAGTCCTTTCAGGCAATAAATGCCCCCAAAATTGCAATCTCATAGGATTTCAGTGATCGGTTCCCCAAGATCTTACACATTCATGCTTAAAATTGCAAATGGCTTCAGTATGTTCTCAGATTGACATCCTTCTGGGATTTCAGCCCTTTTTAATAACGTTAAAAAAATTAATATAATTTTGAGGTTCCACGAGGTGTTATAAACACCCTGGTATTCATAGGAGCCACATAGCCTATCCTGCCTTAGAGTATCTGAACTGAATGTCATTAAACTTGAGTTATATAAATATAGTTCTCCCCATTTTTATTGCATCATAATACACCATTCAAAATAGTCATTGGCAAGGACATCTAAATCAGTTTTTCAATACTCAAATTCCAATTAACAGTTGGGAAATATGGGTTTAATTTTCTATGCTTTCATTGGAATATATTTGGCTTTGATAATTGGCTGGAATAAATAGTTTTAAAATTCAGTTCCTTTTTATGGCTAAATCTGTAGATAATTATCTGACTCCATTAAAGCTAAGCAGTGAGGATTTTTATTTTTGGGGAGATCTATTTCATTATAGTTGTATATTAATTATTACATTAACCTATTGAATTATAGTTAATCCTACTATAGTTGGAAAGTAGTGACTCAGCCATAGTTTTAATTCTTTTATTCTCAAGAAGCTTAATTTAAAAACAGTTTAGAAAACTTTGGGGTAGCCTTTCACATAATATTGTCACCATGATTCAATGTATCTTAACTTTTTAATACTTAGTAGCTGGGTTTAATTAACTTTCAAGTATTTTGTGAGAATACATTTATTTCAACAATAATTGCCTAAACTTTTGATCTAGATGCCAAAAGTGGTTTTACTAGTTACATTACGGTATTTTGAAAGATTGATTGAAATCTTTATCTTTTGTTTGATCTTAAAAATGAAATCGATATTAACAAAAATTTGTTTAGCATCCACAAGCAGTCCTTGACTTAACAACTGTAACAGAGTCCAGAATTATGGTTTTAAGTCAAGGCATCCATGTGACTGGAAGTAATTTTCGTTAAGCAAACCCATTCATTTGAATGGGCTTTTTTGTCAGAAATTGGCAAAAAAAAAAAAAAAAAGAGCCAGAAATTGGCAAAAAAAATCTCAAATTGCAGTCACATGATTGCAGAACGCCACAACTGTTCATAAAGCTGATCCATCTGACATGCAGTCACATGACTGGGGGGGGCTTAATGATGGTTTGAGAGGGGTTTGCAGGTTGTAAAGCATCCATTCCATTGCCATTATAATTTAGCATAGTCATAAGCGGCCATTAAGCAAGGACCACCTGTACTGGATATTTCAGAATATGTTTAATAATTCCATTGCTAAATTTGCATCTAAATGCAAAGGACTGTTAATATGACTTCATCACAATGACTGTCAATGCTGTCAAAACATCGGATGTTTTTGTATTGACAACCGATGGAAATGTAGCCATCATTTACCTTTTGCTTTTAGAGTTAGATGATGCGGGGAGGGGGGGATATGAATGAGAGTCTAGCTAGACATAACAACACTAAACATAGCGTGAGAATCAAGGTTATTGAGCCCAGAGTTGATAAAGAATTGGCGGGGTGGAGAGCTGGAGAGGAAGACTGTGCTTCAAGCTAATTGAGGAATGTGATTTATGACTATTAATTGGAGGAGGGAATTGTGCTTTGATACTATGTGCCCAAGGGAGGGGAATTCAGGTTTTGGCTTTGATTATGCAGTGCCGATATTATTCTACTCAAAAAAAGATTCTTTAAGTTAAAACAATGCCTCGAAGTTCTTTCGAAGAGTTTCATCTGTCGGAACCATGACAGACTGTTTGTCAAGGATACCTCTGTTTCCCCTAGACTTTATCCCTAGCTATATGGATTTTATTAATAAGCAAGGAAAATCTGTACGGGAGGTCCTTGGTGCTCTCTCAGCTTGGCTGTTTTCTCACAGATGTTTCATTATCCAAATTAGGTAACATCATCAGTGCATCAGAGTAATGAAACATCTGCAAGAAAACCACCAAACTTAGAAAACACCAAGAACCCCCCATTTCAACCCTGAGCTACAAATACATTTCTTTATTGGAAAATCTGTAGATTGGGCATAACTAAGAGGAATGCAGGAATCACTGCCCTTCTTAGAACAATGGATTATTATTTTCTTGATTCTTTCTGAAAGATTTTCCAGCTCTTTGGTCATATTTCTATAAGTTGCTTAGTCTCTAGTTATATATATTTTTAAGTAGTTCCTTCCTTGTGTGCTGTGTTTGTAAGAGGTATTATTTTTCAGTAACATTTGATATATGGCCAGTACTGTATGCGTTGAAATATGGATCAGAATAGACATTTCTTTGTATATATATATTTTCCTTTTCTTTTCCTTAATCAAGAAAAATGTTTATAGAGGAGAGGGAATTGATGTCTGTGATTTGATCATCTTCATCCAGCTTTTCTCCTGGGAAAATGGGGAACCATTCCTGCACAGTACAGCAGTGGAAAGGGAATCTCGGGAGCTATAGGGAGTTATTCAGCCAGTGCACAGAGGCACCTATGTTTGTACAGCTCTATTCTCCTGTTGCTAATCTTCTAAAAATTGGAAGGTGATTTATTATTTAGTAAGCAGTGTGACACAGCTCCCCCTGCTCTGTAACTAAGAGGCCCTGGAGGATCTGCAACTAAACTGGTGCAAAGAGCAAGCTTACCGTATATTCCGGCATATAAGGCGACTGGGTGTATAAGACGACCCCCAACTTTTGAGAAGATTTTCAGGGTTTAGAAAGTCATCTTATACGCCAGAAAATACAGTACAATATTGAATTTCTGTTTATAGATGAGCACAATAGGAGCTCCTTTGCTGCTAGAAAGCTTTGTCCTGTTAGTGCTTATTTCTGTAAAAAAAAATAGGGCTGGCCACTAGGGGGCAGATTGGTTTTAAATTCAGAGAACAGCTACCCGTATATTCCTGCGTATAAGACGACCCCGTATATTCCTGCGTATAAGACGACCCCTGACTTTTGAGAAGATTTTCAGGGTTTAGAAAGTCGTCTTATACACCGGAAAATATGGTACCTTGTCAGTAATAGGGAGGATAGGAGCAGATTCTTTTAAGACCACACCTGGAATATTGCATCCAGGTTTGATAACCACATTACAAAAAAGATGTGGAGACTTTGGAAAAAGTGAAGAGAAGAGTAACTAAGACGATTAAAGGCCCGGAGACAAAAACACACGAAGAACCGTTGCAGGAATTGGGTATGGCCAGTCTAGAGGAAAGGACTGGGGGTGACATGACAGCAGTCTTCCAGTTTTTGAGAGATTGCCCCAAAAAAGAGGCGGGTCAACTTATTTTCCAAAGCAGGCAAGACAAGAAACAATGGGAATTAATCAAGGAGAGAAACAACCTGGAATTAAGGAGAAACTTCCTAACGGAGAACAATTAAACCAGTGGAACAGCTTGCCTCCAGAAGTTGTAGATGCTTCATCACTGAAGAAGAGACTGGACAGTCACTTGTCTAAAATGGTATAGGGCCGTGGTGGCGAAGCTATGGCATGGGTGCCACAGGTGGCATGTAAAGCCCTCTCTGTGGGCACATGACCCGTCGCCCCAGTCCTAGGCTTTCAGCTGGGTTTTATAAAACCTTTTCACTTTAGGCCTCCGCCACTGTGTGCAAAAAAAAAAAAAAAGGTTCAATTAATCAATCAGTTTCAACTTCTCGCAGGAAAAAAAAGATTGAAATTGATTGATTGAACTTTTTAATCCCACCCAGTCTGCCGTTACCACCGCAGCCACGCCCAGCCAATGGGCCATGCCCAGCCAATGGGCCACACCCAGCCAATGGGCCACATCCAGCCAATGGGCCACACCCAGCCAATGGGCCACACCCACCTGGCACCCGACGATACATAAGTGGGTTTTGGGTTGCAGTTTGGGCACTCGGTCTCTAAAAGGTTCGCCATTACTGGTATAGGGTCTCCTGCCTGAGCAGGGGGTTGAACTAGAAGATCTCCAAGGTTCAGCTCTATTATGATTACTTACTCTCTGAAGTTGTGGGACTGCACTTTGGTTTGGCTAGAGCAATTATCCGTGGTGTGGGAACCGCAGTTAAGGCTCCTTTTCTCACCTAAAGAGAAGAAACAAAGATATCCTTTTCCAGAATGAACTTAAAAGTCCCCTTATCACCACATCCAAACTGAGAACAAATTAGCATGAAAATATAGCCAATCAAATTTCACCAGAGCGTAATCATTACTCTTCTGGATCAGATTAAAGACCTATGACGGGGTAGGCAACCTTGCCTCTTTTATGACTTGTGGACTTCAATTCCCAGAATTCCTGAGCCAGCATGGCTCAGCTTGGAAACCTCTCCCTTCCTCTCAGCATAGCTGGCTCAGGAATTCTGGGAGTTGAAGTCCACAAGTCCCATGTTTTTAAGCCATGATTGCGACTCTCCCTCTTTGCATTTTTCTGCACCCTTCCCTTTACCCTTTTGGCACTTTCTATGTCAGTGGTTCTCAACCTGTGGGTCGGGACCCCATTTGGGATCGAACGACCATTTCCTGGGGGTCGCCAAACAACGCAGTCCGCCATTTTTTCCCCCTTTTCCTTAGCCGTGCTACTCCCTTTTATTCTATTGGCTTTTGAAAGCCAATAGAATAGACTCTCTTGTCCAGGCTGTCTCTGCCCTGCTGAGCCCGCCAAAAGTCCCATTCTGCAAACGGTGCTGCACCAGTTGAGTAGTCTTTGACTTACGACCGGTTGAGTAGTCCTCGACTTTCGACCGGTTGGGGGTCGCGGCATTAAAAAGGTTGAGAACCACTGTTCTATGTCCTTTCATTTAGCCATTTTGGTTTCCTGTTTCTGAAGCATGTAAAGACATTCTCATCATTGGTTTTGATCAGTGGTGGGATTCAGCTGGTTCGTACCGGTTCGGTAGAACCGGTAGCTAATTTTTTTGTTGCCCAGGCCCAGAGTGGACTTCTGGAAGCGGCTTCCACACATAGAACCGGTTGTTCATCTTTGAATCCCATCCCTGGTTTTGATATTTTTCAGGATGTGTTCAATTTTTTTATTTTGTTGTATGCCTGAGTGAAGCTTATGTACATTTACTTATTAAATTTATATGCTGTATATTGCACTATCAAACGACTCTGGGTGGCTTATGAAGGTGTTCCTTTGTGTTCTCATTTGGACATCTTCTCTTGCAGTGCCTTAGCAAAATGGATTTTGCTCCTCCTTAGGGACTGGCTGTTCTGCTTAAGAATGTACAAGGGATTATTGCAAAACTAGTGGAAAAATAACTACAATTCAGCTTCTGTCTCGAAAGTAACTACAATTTAAGAGCTGTCTAACTCATTTTCAGGTTTGTAAATGCCGCATGGCAGATTAGTTCTATGGGGAATGTATTCTCTTAGGGTATAAGTGAGCAAGAAAGAAAAATGGAGAGAACAGAACAAAAGAGACTAGCATGCTACAAAAAACATGGAAGCGGGTATGGGGAGACAGAGGGCAAATACATAGAACTGAGTTGACTGAGGGTACTAAATTCTGGGGTTCACACAATAAAAAAGCCAACAAAGGATGGTGTGATGCATGAGCTATTTATCAGGGACATATCAAGGACCACACTCCAAAAGAATAGATATAAAAATACATTAAATTTTGTTCAAATATAGTTAGGAGCAGTGGTGGGATTCAGCCAGTTTGCACCACTTCGGCAGAACCGGTAGCTAATTTTTTGTTACTCAGGCCCAGAATGGACTTCCGGAAGCGGCATCCACGCAGAGAACCGGTTGTTGGGGTAGGCAACCTTGGCTCTTTTATGACTCGTGGACTTCAACTCCCAGAATTTCTCAGCCAGGCACGCTGAGGAAAAAGGGAGAGGTTTCCATGCTGAGCCATGCTGGCTCAGGAATTCTGGGAGTTGAAGTCCACGAGTCATAGAAGAGCCAAGGTTGCCTACCCCTGGGTTAGGAGTTTGCAGAACTGTTCAAAATCAAAGCAGTCACTTTGAATTCAAAACATATTGTTCCAGCCTTTGCTGTTTCAACTGCTACAGAAAGGTGTTAAGTTTGAAATTGGTGTTTTGTACTTGACCCAGCCCTTTTGCGCTCAGAACATTTCCACAACGGTCCAAACTGTGTCAAAATACTTCTGGTAAAGCGTCCCTAAAGCCCAGCTGTTTTCAACCTAGAATATTGAACAGGATATTATAATCTAGAAAGGAATGCCTGAGTTCAAAACATTTTGAATTCAAAAGGTTGTGCACCATTAGTTAATATGTCGCCCTTTATGGGAGCTAGATAGCTACATAAATGTGATTAATAAATAAGAAATAAAATGTAATTTATCATCTTAAAAAGTACTTGTGTGGCCTTGCTGAGTAAAGCTGCCCTGATGACAGCATTCATACAGTAAGTTAGATGAGACTAATATAGAATTAGTTCATTTGTGGTTCATTGTGTTGTGGCAAGAACTCAACTGCAAGTAGCCCTTGAATTATGACTCCAATTGAATCCAGTATTTATGTTGCTAAGCAAGACAGTTGTTAAGTGAGTTGTGCCCCATTTTATGACCTTTCTTGCCACAGCTGTTAAGTGAATCACTGCAGATGTTAAGTTAGTAACACGGTTAAGTGAATCCGGGTTCCCGATTGACTTTGCTTGTCAGAAGGTCACAAAAAGTGATCTGGATACTTGAACCATCATAAATACGATCATGGGGATGCTGCAACAGTGGTAAGTGTGAAAAACAGTCATAAGCCGCTTTTTTCAGTGCTCTTGTAACTTTGAATAGTTATTAAATGAATTGTTGTAAATCAAGGACTATCTGTATGGTCTTAGCATGTTATGTGGTCCAGGCTCTTACATTAAGTCGCAATTTATTTGTTAGGTGTAGCAGGTTCTCTGAACATGGTGATTATATTTAGGATTTAGCTTGTGTGAACCTGCTACTAAATCATACTATTGCTCCCTCTGCCTCTATGCTGGATGTACTGACCGATAGTGGACTTTCAGGTTCTGAAAAGAATTTTAAACCAGTCTCTTCTGGAGTTGCAGAGACTACACCAGAGAGAAACAAACCTCTTGAGGTGTCCTTCAGAACACATATGCACATACTGCACATCCCATGTTGTAATGTCATCATATGGACCGAATTAATTTATCCTGAAACATGATAGACTTTCAGCTAGCAGGTTGTCCAAACCTAGCTATTGCGATTGATAAACTATGACAAAAATACATTGTCAAAGTCAATTGTGGGTCAATCAAAAAGGATAATTAAACAAATGCTAGTTTAGCAAATGGTATGAATCAAATCCTGAGCACAGAGAGATCGGTCAGGAAGAAACGGGAGGAAAATAGGCAGTTAGGTGGCATCATGAGATCTTTGCTGTACCAGGAAAGATAAACCAAAGTTGCACTTGATGGCTATGCTTCATGTCTAGAAATTAACAGCGCCGTACACAAGATCAGGCTACTGTTCACCCTTCCCAGCCTAATAAATGAGGATAAACCAGCATAGCTCCCATGATCATGGCATCTTTTCATAATAATGACTTTAACATTGCAGTAATATTTCTAAAAATAGTCTTTTTGATCAATTCAAACGTGATAATGGCAGAGGAGAAGGCCCACCTGGTTTGGGATAGTGCATCCATCTTAGGCCTCCTTGATTTTTCAATGGATTTTGACACCATTGATCATGGTATTCTTCCGGATCAACTCAGGGGAGTAGCAGCGTGAGGCATGGGACTATGGAGGGTCTCCTTCCTTTGTAGCTAGTTTCAGTATTTGTTGACGGATGGAAGATTTGTTTATTGGTCCTACTTTGCAGGATGCCTCAGGGCTTCACTGTCTGTTCTTGTTCAAGAGCTACATCAGGGGTGTTCAACCTTGGGAAGTTTAAGATGTGTGAACTTCAGCTCCTAGAATTCCCCAGTCAGCATGTGCTGGAGAAATCCAAATGGATGATATCACTCAGTCTTTATGTAGATCAGGGGTGTCTACATGGCTGGCTGGGGAATTCTGGGAGTTGAAGTCCACACATCTTAAAGTTGCCAAGGTTGGACATCCCTGATCTACATAAAGCCTGAGTGATGTCTTTGGACTTCTTCAACACATTCTACATATCCTTGAGGAGTATTTGAAAGCTGCACCTGGCCAGTGGTGGGATTCAGCCAGTTCGCACCAGTTCAGGAGAACCGGTAGCTAAATGTTGAGTTTGGACAACCGGCGGAACCCACATTGCTCCTGGAAGTCCATTCTAGGCCTCCCAGGCCTAGAACAGCCCACAGGAAGTGCATGTATGTCACTTCCAGAAGTCTGTTCTAGGCCTTAGAGGCCTGGAGGAGGCCTCACAGGCCTAGAACAGCCCACAGGAAGCTCATGGATGTCACTTCCGGAAGTCCATTCTAAGCCTTGGAGACCTGGAGGAGGCCTCCCAGGCCTAGAATGGCCCACAGGAAGTGCATGGATGTCACTTCCGGAAGTCCATTCTAGGCCTCGGAGGCCCAAGCCTGCATCCACACAGAGAACTGGTTGTCCAGGTATTTGAATCCTACCACTGCATGTGGCCCAGAATTCTATGGCATGAGCAGTTTAGAGCATGTCCCAAAGCAATCATATAACACCATAGCTGCATAACTAGCACGGGCTCCCAGTGGGTTTATGAGTGTAATTCAAGGCACTGGTTGTCACCTATAAAGATGTACATGGCACAAGGCCAGATTATTTGCAGGTTCCCTTGTCTCGGATCATTTAGCTACCGGTTCTCCTGAACTGGTGTGAACTGGTTGAATCCCACCACTGGCCAGGTGTTAATGCCAGATCTAGGTCTCATTTGTGAATCACTGCCATCAAACACAACCTGGAAAATATGCTTTCTCAGTTGTGCTGCTTATCCTATGGAACAACAACATTGCCCCCCCCCCCATAAACCTGATCCCGCCCAAGCCTGTTAGCATTCCATAAGACTAAGGACCTGTTAGATTAGCATGGTTAATTTGTTGTTTATGTGCCTTTTGATTTACAGCAGGGGCCTCCAGACTTGATCTAGAACATTTAGTACAGTTCAGCATGGCTGGCTGAGGAATTCTGGAAGTCCAGAAGAAAGTTGGCAAAAGTTGTCCATACCATAAACCAGTTAAGATTATTTAACTCCGAGATATCTGTGACAGGCCGGGGCCGTGACAGGTTCTTTAATCTGGGCGATGCCACCCCGTTCAGAGCTGCGGGTGTTACTGGCGTCTCAGAAAAAAATCTAGTTTGGCATAAAAAAAGAGTAAGAAGTAGAAGAAAAAACAACAACTAAGAAGACTAAAAGGAAAACATGCAAAGTTCATTATGCCAATCCTATTCTGATCATAGCATAATTTGTTTGACTTATTCTTACTTGTTAATAGTATAACGTATTTGACTGTTAATTTACTAAATCGACTTGTGTTACGAATCCAACCATTGTCAGTTGAGATCTATTCTATTCTATTCTATTCTATTCTATTCTATTCTATTCTATTCTATTCTATTCTATTCTATTCTATTCCATTCCATTCCACTCCACTCCACTCCATTCCATTCCATTCCATTCCACTCCACTCCACCCCACCCCATTCCATTCCATTCCATTCTATATTCTATTCTGTTCTGTTCTGTTCCGTTCCATTCTATATTCCATTCTGTTCTGTTCTGTTCTGTCCATTCCATTCCACTCCACTCCATTCCACTCCACTCCACTCCACTCCACTCCATTCCATTCCATTCCATTGCCATTTATTATTATATCTTACCTCAATGCAATTTTGGCATAGTGGTGACAGAAATTGTTACTGAGTTCTAATCCTGACAGCTGGATGACTGAGCCAGTCCCTCTCTCTCAGTCCCAGGAAGAAGGCATTGACAAATCAAATCCAAAAATGTTGCCAAAAACACCACATGGACTTGTGGCAAATCACCAGGAGTAAAGAACGATTGCAAAAGTGTGTGTGTGTGTGTGTGTGTGTGTGTGCGCGCGCACACACACACACACATTTAAGCAATATAAATGGCTGCTCATCTCACAGCAGTAACTCTGGGTAGTGTATAAAGTTAAAACCAGAGACAAACACTCCAACTAATAAATGTCCTAGGACGGTCACAAAGAGCAAATTCCAACATGCTAAAAACAGCAGCTGACCAAGTTCACTTAAACTCTTAACCCAAATGCTGGGGAAAAGCCATGCCATTCATGCCCTATGAAAACAAGCAGGTCTTCACGATGTTAAAACAGCCAATTGTTATTTAATAAGAAGTCATGATGAAGCAAATCATGGTTTAGGAAGGGCAGAGTCTCACTCTCATCACCCTCAGTCTCATACGTTTCTATGCCTGATTTTTTTTTTTTTTTTTGGCCTGTCTTTATTTTTTTAATTCAACTTTATAATTTGGAGAGGCTATGAAATAAAATAGAGAGTTGTGAAGACCATGTGGCCAAGTCTGAATATCCCACTGGAAGAAAGATGGACAATCACAGGCCCCATGGGAATTTTTTTAATAACCTGTAAATCATCCAACTGATCTGCAGATCATAACAGGAAGGATACGAATACCAGAACTGGGCTGCAAATCTCTACACAGCTGCTAGATGACACAGGTTTGATGTTTGTGTAGCATTTTGCCCCCAACTTGTCACCTAGAGTTTTATAGATTGGTTATATTTTGTTTGTTTGTTTATTTATTTATATCTCGCCTTTATTATTTTTACAAATAAGGCAGCAAACACACACAATACTCCCTTCTCCTACTTTCTCCACAAAACAACTCTGTGAGGTGGGATGGGCTGAGAGCAGAGGTACTAGCCCAAAGTCATCCAGTTGGCTGTCATCCCTAAGGCGGGACTACAATTATAATAATAATAGTAGTAAAGTTGGAAGGGACCTTGGAGGTCATCTAGTCCAACCCCCTGCTCAGGCAGGAAACCCTACACCATTTCGGACAAATGGCTGTCCAGTCTCTTCTTAAAAACTTCCAGTGTTGGAGCATTTACTGCTTCTGGAGGCAGGCTGTTCCACTGATTAATTGTTCTCACTGTCAGGAAGTTTCTCCTTAGTTCTAGGTTGCTTCTCTCCTTGATTAGTTTCCATCCGTTGCTTCTTGTCCTGCCTTCAGGTGCTTTGGAAAATAGCTTGACTCCCTCTTCTTTGTGGCAGCCCCTGAGATATTGGAACACGGCTATCATGTCCCCCCTCGTCCTTCTCTTCATTAAACTAGACATACCCAATTCCAGCAACCGTTCCTTATATGTTTTAGCCTCCAGTCCCCTAATCATCTTTGTTGCTCTTCTCTGTACTCTTTCTAGAGTCTCAGCATCTTTTTTACATCGTGGTGACCAAAACTGGATGCCGTATTCCAAGTGTGGTTTACCAAGGCATTGTAAAGTGGTATTAATACTTCACGTGATCTTGATTCTATCCCTGTTAATGCAGCCTAGCACTGTGTTGACCTTTTTGGCAGCTGCAGCACACACGGCTGGCTCATATTTAGGTGATTATTCACCATCTCCTGGTGATTGGCCCCAAATCACCCAGTTAGCTTTCATGCCTAAAATGAGACTAGAACTCACCATATCCTAGTGATTGGCCCCAAAGTCATTGAGCCTGCACTTATTCGTAAGGGAGAACTAAAACTCAGCATCTCCTGGTCTGTAGTCGAGCATCTTTTTCTCTGCACCAAACTGGCTCTATGAATCCAGTCAACTCCTCTTTGTTCAGGGAGATTTGGCTAACTAAACCATGACCATTAAAAGTACTTGAATAAAATCCAGTATTAAACAGTTTCTTTTTCCCAAACTGCACATGACCAAATTAATTTTTCTCTTTTCCCACCAAGTCTATGCTTGGCAGAGCCTTCAGATTAACTCACTTTTCCCTCACCTGTTATATTCGTAGCTTGAATGGACCCTCTTGAATTCAGACAACTCTTCCTGCCTGGAAGTCATAACTGCAAAGAGAATCGAGAGGGGAAGTGAGAAAAAAAAAATGCAGGTTAGACTAGCATTCCCAGGATGTAACGTCCTTCATTTATACTCTCTGCAGTCATTCCTACTAAAGGTATTCGTGATTCAATTCATTTTTTAAAAAGAAATTCTGAACGTTTCAATGCATTTCTTTCTAGTACTTTTGACATTATTTCACGTACCCTCACTTATGATATAATGTTCCTTCTTTGTTATGGCAATTCCAGCATTTATTATTACAATATATGATTTATCATTTTGGCAGCTGGTGAAGTTATATATCATTTATATCAATTTAGCTTGGAGTAAATTTAACTGGCTTTTTCTATAACTCTTCTCATCGATCCACCATGATTACCTCTTTGAAAATTTTCTTCCCCTTTATTACATTTTTTTTTAAATTTGCCCTTTCTTTATATGTCAGTAAAGATTTTATAGATACAGCCTAATAAATGAACTTAGTTTTGCACCTTTGGCAAGAGTAGTATATAAGTTTAATAAACACATATGTATATGTATATGTATATGTATTTTTTTCAAGGTCCCTCCTTTTTTATGATCCCTTTTTATGTGTTATCATTCTTCAGCTTTCTAATTATTTGCTGATACATTAACTACGATAGATTCCTTCTTTCATGGGTTTTTGTTGTGTTGTTTATCTGTTTCCAAAAGTGTCATGTTGGCATTTGTCATTAAATCTTTTTTATAAGTTTTATTAATTTTCTGAAATTGCATTTACATATTTGAAAAACAACGTGGAGGCTGAGTTATAATAATTCAATTACATATAAGTATCATTAGTACAAATCTCATACTACTACCATAAGCATTTTCTCTCTTTTCCCCTTAATATATACTGTCCATATTTAGGTTAATATAATTCTTGTTCTATCAATCCAATAAAAAATAACTTTCTCACTTTTATCAATAATTTTTAGTTTATATATATTCTAATTGTTTTAGCATTCAATCTCTTAGACAATCAATGACCTAATAATAATAATAATAATAGTAAAGTTGGAAGGGACCTTGGAGGTCATCTAGTGAGTCCAACCCCCTGCTCAGTCAGGAAACCCTATACCATTTCAGACAAATGGCTGTCCAGTCTCTTCTTAAAAACCTCCAGTGTTGGAGCATTCACCGCTTCTGGAGGCAGGTTGTTCCACTGGTTAATTGTTCTCACTGTCAGGATGTTTCTCCGTAGTTCTAGGTTGCTTCTCTCTTTGGTTAGTTTCCATCCGTTGCTTCTTGTCCTGCCTTCAGGCACTTTGGAGAATAGCTTGACTCCCTCTTCTTTGGGGCAGCCCCTGAGATATTGGAAGACTGCTATCATGTCCCCCCTTGTCCTTCTCTTCATTAAACTAGACATACACAATTCCAGCAGCCGTTGGAAATACATTTTTCCAATTTTAATTTTCCATTAATATTTGAATTTAACATTTAATATTTATCATTCTCAAAATTTTAAATGACCCCAGTTCCTTTATCTCATTACCTCACAAAATCTGATGTTCAGAGTACAGACCTTATCTATTTAAATCCTCGTCATTTACATCAACAAAGCAATAATACAATATGATGTTCTTATTTTCTACTAATTTTCCAGTTTCTTGAATTTTGTCATTAAATCTTTCTTACTTAGAGAAAGTAAGAAAGTAGGTGTCTTTACAGGCAACTTTAAGACTTGTGGACTTCAACTCCCAGAATTCCTCAGCCAGCAAAGCTTGTGGGAGTTGAAATCCACAAGTCTTAAAGTTGCCAAGGTTGAGAACCCCTGCTTTAGAATAACAACTTTTGGCAGCTATGCTGATGGCGAAATGCTGGCTGTGGAATTCTGGGAGTTGAAGTCCTCATGCCTTAAAATTGTCAAGGTTGAGAAACATTGACCTAGTCCTAGAGAAACCTAACTGCTCAGCAGGTGTGGTGGACTTCAGTTCCCATAACTATGGGAAATTATATCCACCTAGGGTTGAGGAAAATGAGCAATATTCTTGTGGCCTCTTAAAAATAAGTGAGATCGATGGATAAATGGCCAGTGATATATTATGATGCCATGAAGTCACTAGAAAAAGCCAGGGCAAAACTTTCAGCACCGATTGTGTCCTTATCTAAAGCGATTAAAAATATTGGTCCATCTGATCCTTAGATATTTTAGGAGCTGTCAGAAGGGTACACTGGCTAATGTGCAGATCACAGTCCAGGCACCTTTGCTTTGGAACATAAATTCTGACTAACTTGCCTGGAATTGTGTATCTCGGCTGCTCTTTGGGTATTTTATCTACCCAGTATACAGAAGGTCTGCAGGGAGAAAAAAGAGAAAACAGATGAATCTAAATAATAATAATAGTAATAATAGTAGTAGTAGTAGTAGTAGTAGTAGTAGTAGTAGTAGTAATAGTAGTAATAGTAGTAGTAGTAGTAAAGTTGGAAGCGACCTTGGAGGTCATCCAGTCCAACCCCCTACTCAGGCAGGAAACCCTATACCATTTCGGACAAATGGCTGTCCAGTCTCTTCTTAAAAACTTTCAGTGTTGGAGCATTTACTACTTCTGGAGGCAGGTTGTTCCACTGGTTAATTGTTCTAACTGTCAGGAAGTTTCTCCTTAGTTCCAGATTGCTTCTCTCCTTGATTAGTTTCCACCCGTTGCTTCTTGTCCTGCCTTCAGGCGCCTTGGAAAATAGCTTGATTCCCTCTTCTTTGTGGCAGCCCCTGAGATATTGGAGCACTGCTATCATGTCCCCCCTCATCCTTCTCTATGTTAAACTAGACATACCCAATTCCAGCAACCGTTCCTTATATGTTTTAGCCTCCAGTCCCCTGATCATCTTTGTTGCTCTTCTCTGTACTCTTTCTAGAGTCTCAACATCTTTTTTGCATCGTGGTGACCAAAACTGGATGCCGTATTCCAAGGGTGGAATTTCTGCCCCCATAGCCCTTCCGACCCCTTAACACAGTGATGGCAAACCGTTTAGAGACCGAGTGCCCAAACTTCAACCCAAAACCCACTTATGTATTGCCGGGTGCTGGGTGGGTATGGCCCACTGGGTGGGCATGGCTACAGTGGTCATGGCAGATGGGTGGGCGTGGTTAGGGTGGGCATGGCTAGTCCAATGTTGCTCATGGGGGAGGGACGCCTGTGGGGGCTGGGCAGGATTGGGGGAGATCCAGGGGTCTCTGGTGGGTGGGACGGTGGGCAGGAGGCTGGTTCTGTGGGATGAGGCGAGGCAAGGCGAGGCAGGGTGGGGGTGCCATTGTCACAGGGCAAGATGAGGCAGGGGCCGGGATGGCTGCTGCCTGACACCATCGGCCCCCGCACACAAAGGCCAGCGAGCACATGGGTGCTGGGCTGGGATGCATCCGACCACGTGGGACCTCAGCGAGTTAGCGGGTGGCTGGTTGAAGAGGACACTTGCCATCTCTGGGGCATGGCGCGCGTGCCCACAGAGAGGGCTCCGAGTGCCGCCTCTGGCACGCGTGCCATAGGTTCACCACCACTGCCTTAACATATTGGCCATCCCAATTCATCTCTTTTGTCCTCATCACAGGATATCACAAGAAAAGTCAGTTATGTCTCCCTGGAAATACTAAATACTCCCTGGAAATACTAAATACTAAAAGGAGATATTTATTCTAAGATCTGTTGTCTTAAGAATTCTTGAGCTATAAATGGGACTCAATCTGTGACTTGCTACATTTCACAGCAGTATAAAGCAAACACCTTTATGGATGAGAATGAGGGGTCCTTGGAACTCTCTGAGCTTGGCTGTTTTCTTGCAGATGTTTCATTACCCAAACTAGTTTGGGTAATGAAACATCTGCAAGAAAACAGCCAAGCTCGGACAGCACCAAGCCCTCATTTCAACCCTGAACTACAAGTATTCTCTTTTATTGGTACCTTTACATATGCATGACAGAGTCAGACAAATTTCATCCTGTGAAAAGGTCAATCTTCAAAATTAAGAAAAATCCCAACCCTTCATAGCCGCCAGCTGGTGCCAGCAGAAAGCACTTTAGGAGGAAAGGAAATTTGAAAGATCTGCCCTCTGTTGCCCCTTGTGGCCTGGAGATGCCATTGCATTTGGATCTCCAACACTGGGGATTTGCTCAGACCAAGCCTGCCCACACCGCCCCCCAGAAAGCCTGAGAAAAATGCACCCAATGGGGGAATTCAGTGGGCTGGCACAGGTTGCTTCACCTCTTCCCATACTCAAGGCAAAGAAACAGTTATTTCCACTGCCTCTGCATTTCACCTGTGAATACGCTTTCAATCCCAGTGGGTTTTGAGAAAATAGGAATTCTAACCTGGAGAAGAGCACCTGGTGGTTGACTTTTGGTCGGGCAAGGATGCTGAGCCGATCCTGCTTGAGGCCCCATTCTGAAGACATCAGTTACCAGAGCAGCCAGCCCTGCAGGCTTATGGAGGAGGGGGAAATGGACGTGATGTTCCAAGCGAGCAACGGATGACCAAAACTCACTCACGCCTGGTGAACGGGGACATAGATGTCTCAGGGATGTTCTGGCAACAGGAAGGACACGTGGGGGGGTCAGGGGTGGGAAGAGAAAGGAAAATTATCCCAAATTTCAACCTGTCTTCTAGGGGCGGCGACTGTAATTCAGATTCAAATCTAAAGCCGAGATGGCGTGTTCCTATTGTATCCTACTACAGCATCCTTGACTTACGTTCACAACTGAGCCCAAAATTTCTGCTGTTAAGTCAGATACTTGTTAAGTGAGTTTTTCCCCCATTTTACAACGTTCCTGGCCACAGTTGTTAAATCAACCACTGCACTTGTTAAGTTAGTAACACGGTTGTTAAGTGAATCTGGCTTCCCCCATTGACTTGGCTGGTCAGAACGTCGCTGTCAGAATCCAATTATATTTCATCTCTAGTTATCAACTATAGAAAACCCCATTTCTGCCTTCTATGGATTCTGTCATACGATGAAGGGAAGGGGGTGAACAAAGGGGCTTTATGGCCCTCACTTCCCTCAGTACACTTCAAAGTGACTGAATGTGGATATCACCAAAAGGACTAACCATAAGAATGGGGCTATTACCTTTCATGTAGTTCTCTCTGAAGTCTCCATCCAGCCGGCAGTAAGGAAAAGGGGGAGGGAGTGTAATGCCTGAGACTGTCGCTGGAAGAAGTGGGTGATTGGGTGGGGCTACTGGGGAACCCCTTAAAACCTTGAATGGGAGAGCTTGGACCCCAAGTCCTGTCTAGAATGCCTGCAACCATTTTCTCTTAATAAAGGATGCCTGTTGGAAGAACTATTCCAAGAGTTCTGTCTTCTTAAGATGCAAAGTGGGGTGGGTCCTTACAGTTGCCAAAGAGGATCACGTGACCCCGGGATGCTGCAACCGTCATAAATACATGCCAAGCATCTGAATTTTGATCACGTGATCATGGGGATGCTGCAATGGTTGTAGGTGTGAAAAACCTTCATAAGTCACTTTTTCAGTACCATTGTAACTTCTTACTGTCACTAAATGAACCCTTGTAAGTCGAGGACTACCTGTTTAGGTAGCTCTTGACTCGCAACTATTCATTTAGTGATCAGAGTTACAATGGCGTTGAAAAAAAAGGGACAATCAGTCCTTGCACTTTCAACCATTGCAGCATCTCGACATGATCAAAATTTGGGCACTTGGTAACCAGCATTTATTTATGATGTGTAGGAAGAACCCCATAAGCCCCCCTTTAATATAAGAAAGCCCCATTTTAGCAAAAAAATCCCCCCCTCCCAGAGAAAAGTCTTCCCTAAAGTAAAGCTACTCACATCTCTTCACTGAAAGTGCTGCAAGCAAGTCTCTCCGGAGACTAAGTTTATGAATGACATACGAGGGCAATTTGGAAATAAACTTCCGTTTGGTTATCAATGACAGACACTCACAGATGGAGAACTTTTATTACACACATTAGAACAGTGGTTCTCAACCTTTTTAATGCCGTGACCCCCAACTGGTCGTAAGTCGAGGACTACTCAACTGGAGCAGCACCTTTTGCAGAATGGGACTTTTGGCGGGCTCAGCAGGGCAGAGACAGCCTGGACAATTCCTATTGGCTTTTGAAAACCAATAGAATTAGACTCTATTCAAGAGAGTCTATTCTATTGGCTTTCAAAAGCCAATAGAATAAAAGGGAGTAGCACAGCTAAGGAAAAGGGGGAGGAAAAATGGCAGACTGCATTGTTTGGCGACCCTCGTGAAATGGTCGTTCGACCCCAAATGGGGTCCTGACCCACAGGTTGAGAACCACTGCTCTAAAAAATTCGCCATCACTGGTATAGAGTCTCCTGCTTGAGCAGGGGGCTGGACTAGAAGGCCTCCAAGGTCCCTTCCAATGCTATTATTCTATTATCTTCTGCCCCAGCCTCTCAAATGCCTGCTGCTCATAGAAAATCAGGAGTTTTCCTCCCGTCTTATCTATGCATCTGCGAGTGTCTGTCATTGATAACCAAACGGAAGTTAATTTCCGAATTGCCCTCATACTATGAATCCATTCAGGAGAATGGATTCTGAGCGCTCCTGTTCAAGCAGCCAGCCCTGTGAATGGATATTTAGTTTCCATTCACCAAAGCAAACTATTCCATTTACAAACAAAATAGCCTCCACTGAAGCCTGGAACTGATCGGATTACAAGCAGAAAGACACCTAAAATCTACATTTCCCCCTAGCTCCAAGGACAGAGCATAACCTCTCAGCCACAATAACAGTCAGGCAACAACAATTAGAATATTAAAAGACACAGTGCATTGAAGATTGAAGTGCATTTTGCAACGAACCTGGACATCTAAATCACAAAGCCCCCAAATCATATAAAAACCTATCTGCTCTCCAGACCACTTTGTTAGCTGTCCCAGAACCGATTATTGTGTCACTTCGCTTTTGAACTTGAATAAAGGGTCTTCCTTTCCAGCAGCTGGCTTCATGTCTCTATTTCTCTGTGGCGGTACTCTCGTTCGTTCTCCCGGCTAGAGAAACTAGCCCAATTTCTTCTAACAAATGGTCCCAGAGTCATCCACACTTGCAACCTTCCCAGCAAGTTTTTGACAAGGAAAATCCATGGAGGAAGCCTGATTTACTTAACAACTGCACGATTCACTTAATCGCTTCAGTGATTCGCTTAACATCTGTGGCAAAAAAGGTTTTTTTACAAATTCCAATCCCAATTGCGGTTGTAAATTGAGGACTGATTGATTGCACCCAGATCCATCTCTTTCTGGGATACTGTATTCAGTTCCCAACAAAGCCCAGATTTCTGCCTAATTTGTTTGGTTCCTGACTTTCATTTAGTTTTCTCCCAACCAACCTGTTTTTGTACTTCAGAAAGGACTGTCATTCCCTTCAAGCCCAAGGAGTCAGATAATTAGTTCTGTCTGCTTTATGAAATTTATAGCTCACCATTTTCTTCAAAAAGAAATCAAGGCAGCCTGAATTCCTCTCCTTTCTCCAGATTTTACCACTACAACAGACTTGTGAGGTAGGCTGGGTTGAGGGGCAAGGACCAGGCCAAAGCTGAGCTTCTATGGTTGAGGGGGATTTCCTAATCTAGCGCTTTCAGTACTCGGCCACACTAACTTTTATTTTACTTGTATTTGTAAAGATACAAGTAAAGATATGATGTGAGATATGACGGCTAATTTAGGGAGGGAACATGCTGATAATTTAACTGCTCAGAGGAAGAGAACTTAGATCCTAGCATCCCCCCGTTGTGCCTGTGCCAACATTTTGTAACAATAAAAGACTTTTAGGAAAATAAATGTCTGGAATGTCTTTGGAATGTTTCATTAGCCGGAACCACAACAGTATTATTGTTTAAAATACATATAAGTCAAGGCCATGGTTTCCTCAGTTGCAACGTATGGCTGTGAAAGCTGGACCGTAAGAAAGGCTGAGCGCCAAAGAATGGAGGCCTTTGAACTATGGTGCTGGAGAAGACTCCTGTGAGTCCCCTGGACTGCAAGGCGATCCAACCGGTCAATCCTAGAGGAGATCAACCCTGACTGCTCCTTAGAAGGCCAGATGCTGAAGTTGAAACTCAAGTACTTTGGCCACCTAATGAGAAGGAAGGACTCACTGGAGAAGAGCCTAATGCTGGGAAAGATGGAGGGCAATAGAAGAAGGGGACGACAGAGAAGGAGGAGGCTGGATGGAGTCACTGAAGCAGAAGGCGTGAGCTTAAATGGACTCCAGAAGATGGTAGAGGACAGGAAGGCCTGGAGGAATGTTGTCCATGGGGACGCGATGGGTCAGACACGACTTCACAACTAACAACAACAACCACAAATTATTGTTTATGTCCAGAACTGGGAATAATCTAAAAGAAATCATTTGGCAGTACTCCTGTATATATTTCCAAAATTTGATTCTGCCTTACTGTATAAAATATGCTAAGCAAGCTTCCTAGTGAGTTTTTGTTTAAATTGCATTACAGCTAGCTTTCAACTTACAACCACAACTGAGCTCAAAATTTCTCTTGCTAAGTGAGACTGTTGTTAAGTTAAGCTCCTTTTAATGACTTTTCTTGACCCAATTGTTAAATGAATCTTTGCAGTTAAGTTAGTGACGTGGTTGTTAAGTGAATGTGGCTTTCCCACTGACTTCTCAAAAGTTTGCAAAAGGTGATCCTGTGACCATGGGACACTGCAACCGTCATACATATGAACCGTTTGTCAAGCAACTGAATGTAAACCACGTGACCATGGGGATGCTGCAGCAGTCATAAGTGTGAAAAAATGGGGATAAGTCACTTATTTCAGTGCCCTTGTAACTTTGAACGATCGCTAAACAAACTGTTGTCAATCGAGGATTATCTATACTCAGGGACAGCTCCAGAAATCAGATTGACATGAGTTTTGGAAAGGTAATATCAATTATCACCACTTGAGGGTAGCCTTGCCCCAGAAAATGGTGTGTGATATTTACTTAGGGGAAAGCTTGTACAGAAAGTGAAAAAAACAGACAGCTGAACAATTAGAAATGCTCCAGGAATTAGGTAGGTAGGTGGGTGAGTGTGGGGATGGGTGGATAGATAGATAGATAGATAGATAGATAGATAGATAGATAGATAGATAGATAGATGATAGATAGATACAGTGGTGGGATTCAGCCAATTCACACCAGCAGAACCGGTAACTAATATTTTGTTACCCAGGCCCAGAATGGACCTCCAGAAGTGGCATCCACACAGAGAACCGGTTATTCACATATTTGAATCCCACAACTGGATGGATAGATGGCTAGACAGATAGACAGACAGACAGACAGACAGATGAGAGAGAGTAGGTAGAGAGAGTAGTAGATGATAGACGATAGAGAAGGTAGATGATAGATAAGTTAGATAAGATAGATAGATAGATAGATAGATAGATAGATAGATAGATAGATAGATAAGGTAGATAGATAAGGTAGATAGATAAGGTAGATAGATAAGGTAGATGATAGATAGATACAGTGGTGGGATTCAGCCAATTCACACCAGCAGAACCGGTAACTAATATTTTGTTACCCAGGCCCAGAATGGACCTCCAGAAGTGGCATCCACACAGAGAACCGGTTATTCACATATTTGAATCCCACAACTGGATGGATAGACAGACAGATAGACAGACAGACAGACAGACAGATGAGAGAGAGTAGGTAGAGAGAGTAGTAGATGATAGACGATAGAGAAGGTAGATGATAAATAAGTTAGATAAGATAGATAGACAGACAGACAGACAAATAAATAATCTGATATATTAGGGGTGACATGGTGTCCCTATAAGGGGCTATTACAGAGAAGAGAGGATTGACTTATTTTCTGGGGTATCAAAGGGCAAGAAGTGACAGGTGGAAGCTTGTTAAAGAGAGATCCAACCTGGAACTAAGAAGAAATTGTCTGACAGAACAATTAATTAATGGAAAAGCTTGAATAGACTGCACAACATTTGACTGGGTAGGTCTAAGGTCTCCTGCCTTGAGCAAAAGTCCCTCCTGGCCCTGTGATTCTGTGTTCTATTTCATATCATTGTTACGATTATGTAATGATTGTTACATCAGCCTTTGCATCCCTCAACTGCTGCGAAAAAGTTCTTTTCTAAAGAAAATTCAAATACTGAACATACTTCGAGAGGTCATTTTTGCACATGTGTATGTAAAGTCTTCCATTTGTATTTCAGGACATATCCCTATATTGTATTCTGTTTTCTGCACTCTACAATGATTTATGAATTATGCACACAGAGATTTGATTTTGCGTAAAATTTCTGTGATCGTATTTGTATGCGCATTTTGAGCCAAAAAAAAAAAAAATGCATTGCGCAACTCACTGAAGTACAGAACCATGGTTTTTCAACACACATATTCCTCCAGTACAAGGGTGGGTAACTACGGTCTCTTTACATGTGGATTTCAACTCCACATGTATAGCTGGCTCAGGAATTCTGGAAGTCCACAGGTCATAAAGAGCTTATAGCAGTTGCTCACCGGTATTCCCAAAAATGAAAATTAGAGGAGTTTGCTTAAATATGTGGACCCAATATATTTAATCCCAGACCAGTTTGGGGAAAAATATTTACTAAAATGTGATTCCAATAGTGAATGGCTAGACTTCTTCGTCCTTTTCCATAGCACTTAATGGCTAATGGGTGATTTGGAATTTAGATACTTTGTGTGTGAGAAAGCTGAATAATTGCTTCAAGAACAGGGGATGTTTTCTCCAATCTTCTACCACCTTCCCAAATTTTGCAATCAACAAGTGCAAAATTGTTGCCATAGCATCCTTGCTGCTATGTGGACAAAATCCACACTTCGGAGAGTTAGTGTGTTTCTGTGCCCAGGAGCAGAAACAGAAGCAAAACACACCCATAAAAGTTGTATTCACAAAACTACTGGTAATAGATCTAGGTTAAATTGGGGCCGGGTCTTTTGTACCAAATTTTGGCAACTTAGCTGTTGGTTGAATCCCACTAAGTTTGGCAGTTGTCATGAAAGAACCTGAACAATTCTCCCCACCCCCATGAAGATTTCCTGCAAGTCCCAGGGTCCTTAGCCAACATGAGAGTTGGGCAGCACATATACATTTGATAAATTATTATTGTTCTTAAGACTCTTTTTTTTCTGCAACCCCTAGAATTCCCTTCAAACACAGCCCAGTTAGGGAGGCACAATTGCTAAGAATTATGTCAGCTTCATGTCATTTTGAGGAGGTGACCCCCTAAGATAGGCTTCATTGAATTGAAATAACCAAGACATACAGAATAACAGAATTACAGAGTTGGAAGGGACCTTGGAGGTCTTCTAGTCCAGCCCCCCCACCTAAGCAGGAGACTGAACAAATGGCTGTCCAATCTCTTCTTAAAAACCTCCGGGGATGGAGTATCCACAACCTCTGAAGGCAACTATTCCACTGGTTAATTGTTCTCCCTGTCAGGAAATTCCTCCTTAGTTCTAAGGTGAGAGCAATTAACTTCTTAAAAAGATGGGACTGGTGCTACTTTGCCCACCATTTTGTTTCATCTCCAGTCACACTACAAACTTCAGACAATCTCCTGACTTCCCAAAGCAGCTCATCCTGGTTCTATCAACAGCCAGCCTGAAGCCCTAGAACAGTGGTTCTCAACCTGTGGGTCGGGACCCCATTTGGGGTCGAATGACCATTTCACGGGGGTCGCCAAACAACACAGTCCGCCATTTTCTCCCCCTTTTCCTTAGCTGTGCTACTCCTTTTTATTCTATTGGCTTTTGAAAGCCAATAGAATAGACCCTCTTGAATAGAGTCTAATTCTATTGGCTTTCAAAAGCCAATAGGAATTGTCCAGGCTGTCTCTGCCCTGCTGAGCCCGCTAAAAGTCCCATTCTGCAAACGGTGCTGCACCAGTTGAGTAGTCCTCGACTTACGACCGGTTGGGGGTCGCGGCATTAAAAAGGTTGAGAACCACTGCCCTAGAACTTTTCTTGAGTGGATAAAAATGTAGAGACATCTTCCAGTTGAGTCATCTTGAGTGATTTCATACCCAGTTGTCTTGGCAATAGTTTGGTGAGGTTTGGTCAACAAAATCAAGATAATGTCTACAGCTAACAACCATTTGTTTAGCGATTGAAATTATATAACATCACTGAAAAACAACAACTTAGGAGCAGTTCTTGCACTTACAACCAGCACAGCATTCTCAACTTAACAACCATTTGTTTAGCGATTGAAGTTATATAACATCACTGAAAAAAACAACAACTTATGAGCACTTCTTGCACTTACAACCACCACAGCATTCAAATTTGGTCAAATTTGAGCACTTGGCAACCAGCACGCATTTATGATGGTTGCAGCAAAGGCAGGAGAAGCAGCAACGGATGGAAACTTAATCAAGGAGAGAAGCAACCTGGAACTAAGGAGAAATTTCCTGATAATAATTAATCAGTGGAACAACCTGCCTCCAGAAGTTGTAAATGCTCCAACACAGGAAGTTTTAAAGAAGAGACTGGACACTGGACAGCCATTTGTCTGGAACAGGATAGTGCAGTGATGGCGAACCTTTTAGAGACCGAGTGCCCAAACTGCAACCCAAAACCCACTTATGTATCATCAGGTGCCAGGTGGGTGTGGCCAATTGTGTGGGTGTGGCCCATTTGATGGGCGTGGCTGCGGTGGTAACGGCAGACTGGGTGGGACTAAAAAGTTCAATCAATCAATTCCAACTTTGTGAGATCTTTTTTTTTCCCTGTAAAAAGTTGAAATTGACTGATTGAACCTTTTTTTTTTTTTTTTTGCACATGGCAGCGGAGGCCTAAAGCGAAAAGGTTTTATAAAACCCAGCTGAAGGCCTAGGACTGGGGTGACAGCGCGCGTGCCCACAGAGAGGGCGCTGAGTGCTGCCTCTGGCACCCAGAGCATAGGTTCGCCACCACAGGTATAGTGTCTCCTGCTTGAGCAGGGGGTTGGACTAGAAGACCTCCTAGGTCTCTTCCAGTTTTGTTATTCTGTTATCCTAGTGCTCTTCTACCCATTGACCTTATTTGGATGTTGAGAATAAGACAAGTTTTATTACTGCTGCCCAGAAGTATGCCAGCGTGCACAGCATAGAAGAAATTATTATTTTTTTTCTTTTTAGAAATTTAAAATTTGATAAACTGAGCTGGGGGTAGTAGGTAATTGACATCTTAATTTTGTGTAGGAGAAGCTCAGTTGAGCTGTTTCTTTTGACTCTAGAGTCTTGTTGCTGTTGGTGATGAGGATTCATCCTCTACAATTGGGTGTGTTTAAACACACTTAACTCACTTCTGGAACTAATCCATTTTTCTGAGTTCACACACTGAGCCTTACATGACCCAGAGAGATTTGCAAACATGCTAAGACATACATACATATCCATTTATAACCACAGAGCCTAGCCATGATTATCCTCGTGTGTGAATCTAGTTGACCGATCGGTAAATGGTCTATTTCAGGGGTCTTCAAACTTGGCTCTTATATGACTTGTGGACTTCGACTCCCAGAATTCCTCAGCCAGCATGCCTGGCTGAGGAATTCTGGGAGTCGAAGTCCACAAGTCATAAAAGGGCCAAGTTTGAAGACCCCTGGTCTAAACTTTCTGACTTTCTAATCTATGTTTACCCATCCCAATTGTCAGTTTAGGACCAAACTTGCTGGCGGTACTGCAAAACAGCCACCGGTCAGTAGATGGCGCCCAAGAGAAGACTGAAAGTCTCCTCTGCCATCTGGTGGCAGAGCCCATTTTTGCAAATTGAGGATCATAAAAACAACAGCCACCGCTAATACACTTCGTGCCAACTTCAGCACCTTCGATTCTTTCTACAATGTACACCAAGGGTCTTCAGACTTGGCCCTTTTAGGACTTGTGGACGTTGACTCCCAGAATTCCTCAGCGTGCCTGGCTGAGGAATTCTGAGAGTCGACGTCCACAAGTCCTAAAAGGGCCAAGTTTGAAGACCCCTGGTCTAGTTGGACCTGTATGAACTCAGCTACGATATAAATTTAAAACTTTTATATTTTCTCTTCCATCGGGTCGGGTTTGCCCAACAACCAGGTTCCTGCGGGGTCTGACCAAAGACCTTTATGAGGACTAGCTGTAAGAAAAAAACCTCATTCAAAAACAACTCTGAACTCTACTTCCCGGTACTTGGACCCAGTAGGAGCAGCTTCCTAAGTTCCTGTGCCTCGCAGTAATTTCCCTTCTTGGACCTTTTCCTAATGTCACTCTACCCCTTGTGGATACCAACCTGTTTTGAGTCTCTGCATGGCTTAAGCAATCAGAGTAAGGCGAGCGATGTTGCCAGGGAGACTATGACCGCATCTTCCGTTGCCAGGGGAACCTCTCTGGACCGAACGCCTCGGATGCATTCCGAGAAAGGCCATTGGGACAGAAGAACATTCAAAGGGATCTGCTGGAGTACGATAACATCAAACTCCGGGCTTAGAAGACCCTCTCGCTCTCTTAAGAAGCAGGCCACCTTCGTCAAAATCCTTCAGCGTTTGTAAGCGATGCGAATTTTCACCTTCCGTGCACACTGTGTCCTGAACGCCTTGTTTTTGCAATTGTTGAGCCACCCCCCCACCCCTTCCCAACCTCTGACTTCAGTTATCAAAAATCAGCGGCACAGTCTCCTGGCTTTGCCAAGTGGGAACACACAAAAAGTGTTGTGTAAACCTTAAAATATAATTGAGGTGGTTATTTTTCTACATTTAGGCAAGAAAAACCAAATGTATAGGTATAGTATAGCGGATACTTGGCTCAATAGTAGCAACTGTGAGAAGGATCTCAGAGTCCTAGTGAACAATCACTTAGATATGTGAACCAGCCGTGTGCTGCAGCTGCCAAAAAGGCCAACACAGTGCTGGGCTGCATTAACAGAGGGATAGAATCAAGATCACATGAACTGTTAATACCACTTTACAATGCCTTGGTAAAGTCACACTTGGAATACGGCATCCAGTTTTGGTCACCATGATGTAAAAAAGATGTTGAGACTCTAGAAAGAGTGCAGAGAAGAGCAGCAAAGATGATTAGGGGACTGGAGGCTAAAACATGTAAGGAACAGTTGCTGGAATTGGGGATGTCTAGTTTAATGAAGAGAAGGACGAGGGGGGGACAGGATAGCAGTCTTCCAATATCTCAGGGGCTGCCACAAAGAAGAGGGAGTGAAGCTATTCTCCAAAGCGCCGGAAGGCAGGACAAGAAGCAACAGATGGAAACTAATCAAGGAGAGAAGCAACTTAGAACTAAGGAGAAACTTCCTGAAGTGAGAACAATTAACCAGTGGAACAACCTGCCTCCAGAAGCGGTGAATGCTCCAACACTGGAGGGTTTTAAGAAGAGATTGGACAATCTTGGACAAGGTCCCTTCCAGCTCTAAATCAATTCTGGGAGTTGAAGTCCACACATCTTAAAGTTGCCAAGTCTGAAAAAATATTATGTAAGATCAGTCTTTCTCAACTTTATTATTATTATCGATCATCGCACAGTCAGCCAGATGTTCAGACTGGATTTGGCATTTTGTCTACCTATCGAGTCCTTACCCAGGACCTGGGATAGGCAGATGTGGATGTTTGATGGTATTACAGATATCGTCGCAGGATGGAAGCAGTTCCTAATAAGGCCGCCTTTTGCAATTGACTAATAGCGAATTTGTCAATGCCAATGGTGTTCAAGTGGTGCTCCAGTTGTTTTGGGATTGCACCCAAGGAGCCTATGACTATTGGTACTACCCTTGCTTGCTTTTGCCACAGTCTTTCTATTTCTATTTGTAGGTCTTTGTATTTTGTTATCTTCTCCAGTTTTTCTCTTCTATTCTGCTATCTCCAGGCACTGCCACATCCACTATCCAGACTTTTTTGTCTTTCTTATCGACAATTGTTAAGTCTGGGGTGTTATGTTGCAGGTGCTTGTCTGTTTGAATTCTGAAGTCCCAGAGCAGTTTAATTTTATCATTTTCTATGACTTTCTCTATTTTATGATCCCACCAGTTTTTGCTTACAGGCAAATGATATTTTTTGCAGATCTTCCAATGCACCATTGTTGCTACTTTGTCATGCCGCTGCTTGTAATCAGTTTGTGCAATCTTCTTGCAACAGCTTACCAAGTGGTCCACTGTTTCTTCAGCTTCTTTGCATAGGCGGCACTTACTGTCTGTTGCTGTCTTCTCAATTTTGACTTTGTATGCATTTGTCCTTAAGGCTTGGTCTTGTGCAGCCAGAATTAGTCCCTCGGTCTCTTTCTTCAATTTTCCTGCTCTTAGCCATTGCCAGGTTTTATTATTATCTGCTTTCCCAGCTATTTTTTTCATGTATTGGCCATGTAGTGCTTTGTCTTCCCATGCCTCTATTCTGTTCTTCATTTGGTCTTTCTTGTAGGCCAGTTTGGTCTCTCCAGTAGTTAGTAAGCCTTCCTGATATACTAATTTCAGTGCATCTTCATCATTGTTCTTCAGATATTCTTCCAAAGCCATTTTTTCTTCTTCAACCATCTGATGTATATTATTATTATTATTATCAATCATCGCACAGTCAGCCAGATGTTCAGACTGGATTTGGCATTTTGTCTACCTATCGAGTCCTTACCCAGGACCTGGGATAGGCAGATGTGGATGTTTGATGGTATTACAGGTATCGTCGCAGGATGGAAGCAGTTCCTAGTAAGGCCGCCTTTTGCAATTGACTAATAGCGAATTTGTCAATGCCAATGGTGTTCAAGTGGTGCTCCAGTTGTTTTGGGATTGCACCCAAGGAGCCTATGACTATTGGTACTACCCTTGCTTGCTTTTGCCACAGTCTTTCTATTTCTATTTGTAGGTCTTTGTATTTTGTTATCTTCTCCAGTTCTTTCTCTTCTATTCTGCTATCTCCAGGCACTGCCACGTCCACTATCCAGACTTTTTTGTCTTTCTTATCGACAATTGTTAAGTCTGGGGTGTTATGTTGCAGGTGCTTGTCTCATTATTATTATTATTATTATTATTATTATTATTATTATTATTATTATTATTATTATTATTATTATTATTACGGATCATCGCACAGTCAGCCAGATGTTCAGACTGGATTTGGCATTTTATCTACCTATCGAGTTCTTACCCAGGACCTGGGACAGGCAGATGTGGATGTTTGATGGTATTACAGATATCGTCGCAGGATGGAAGCAGTTCCTAGTAAGGCCGCCTTTTGCAATTGACTAATGGCGAATTTGTCAGTGTCAATGGTGTTCAAGTGGTGCTCCAGTTGTTTTGGGATTGCACCCAAGGAGCCTATCACTATTGGTACTACCCTTGCTTGCTTTTGCTACAGTCTTTCTATTTCTATTTGTAGGTCTTTGTATTTTGTTATCTTCTCCAGTTCTTTCTCATCTATTCTGCTATCTCCAGGCACTGCCACTTCCACTATCCAGACTTTTTTGTCTTTCTTATTGACAATTGTTAAGTCTGGGGTGTTATGCTGCAGGATTATTATTATTATTATTATTGAAAAGCCAACAAAAACTCAAAAAAACCCACCCTCTTATAAATTCAGCGGGGGAAAACAAAATATCTGGACTGCAGCCATGTGCACGACAAGGTCTCTCCCCCACCACTCCTCTGTATTTTTATAACAGCCCCTGAATGTCCTGCTTTCACATAAGAGGGAAGTGTTGAGTGTGGTCTTCAGGCACCCTCAAAGCCCTGCCTGGCCTCAGCTTGTACAAGAGTACAGGTAGTCCTTGACTTATGGCCACAATGAGGATCAGAATATCTGTTGCTAAGCAAGGCAGTGGTTAAGTGAGTTGCGTTTGATTGTACGACTTTTTTTTTTTTTTTTGGGCCAGGGTTCTTGAGCGAATCCTTGCAGCTGTGTCAAAGTGGAGTGTCAGGAGTGTCAAAGTGCTGGCCTGCTTTTCTGCCTCTTCAAGATCCTTTGAGGAAATATATTTTTTTGCCCTTTGAATATTTCCTTCTCTGGGGGGCTGACTTCTCACACAGCTTTTATGGTTAAGGCAGGACTATCACTCACATCTCCTGCTGATTGGCTCATAATAATAATAATAGTAGTAATAATAGTAGTAGTAGTAGTAGTAGTAGTAGTAGTAGTAGTAGTAGTAAAGTTGGAAGGGACCTTGGAGGTCATCTAGTCCAACCCCCTGCTCAGGCAGGAAACCCTACACCATTTCAGACAAATGGCTGTCCAGTCTCTTCTTAAAAACTTCCAGTGTTGGAGCATTTACTGCTTCTGGAGGCAGGCTGTTCCACTGATTAATTGTTCTCACTGTCAGGAAGTTTCTCCTTAGTTCTAGGTTGCTTCTCTCCTTGATTAGTTTCCACCCGTTGCTTCTTGTCCTGCCTTCAGGTGCTTTGGAGAATAGCTTGACTCCCTCTTCTTTGGGGCAGCCCTTGAGATATTGGAAAACTGCTATCATGTCCCCCCTTGTCCTTCTCTTCGTTAAACTAGACATACCCAATTCGAGCAACCGTTCCTTATATGTTTTAGCCTCCAGTCCCCTAATCATCTTTGTTGCTCTTCTCTGTACTCTTTCCCAATAGGCTTCTGTGCCTAAAATTGAACTAGAACTCACCCTCTCCTGCTGATTGGCTCAAAGTCATCCAGCCAGCTTTTATGGTTAAGGCAGGACTAGAACTCACATCTCCTGCTGATTGGCTCATAATCACCCAATAGGCTTCTGTGCCTAAAGTTGAACTAGAACTCACCCTCTCCTGCTGATTGGCTCAAAGTCATCCAGCCAGCTTTTATGGTTAAGGCAGGACTAGAACTCACATCTCCTGCTGATTGGCTCAAAGTCACCCAACGGGCTTTCGTGCCTAAGACGAACTTAGAAGTCACAGTCTCCAGCAACTTAACTGCTACACCAAACTGGTTTTAAAAGTAATAGATACTACATTTTATGTGGTAATGAGCCGAGGTGGCGCAGCAGTTAGAGTGCAATACTGCAGGCCACTTTAGCTGACTGTGTTCAGCAGGTCAGCAGTTCAAATCTCACCGGCTCAAGGTTGACTCAGCCTTCCATTCTTCCGGGGTAGGTAAAATGAGGACCCAGATTGTTGGGGGCAATGTAAATATATATATATATACATTGCTTATTGGTGTACACCGCTTAGAGAGTGCTTGCACTTAAAGCGGTATATAAGTCTCATAAATAAATAAACCCATGATTGCTTTAAATGAGATATTCCTTCTTGGTTTTGTAACAGCACTGGGACGGGAGGGGGGGGGAGCAAGAGGGGCCAGATATTTAAAGCAGTGTTGCTGTATCTCAGGGCAAACCTGAACCCTTTCCTATAGGCCCACCCAAAAGGAAGAACACGTCCAAA